TGTCACTGAAAGAAAAGCGCAGTGTAGAGATATCAGTGTGGAATATATCAGAAAATATGTGATGACTGAAACCAGGAGGATAAAAGAAAGTATATAAATAATGGAACGTAAAGCAACAAAAGGAGGGAGTTCGTAAAAAACAGCATTATTTAAGAAATATATAGTAGAAAATTAGCTAACGAGAATTTTAAGATGTCAAAAAGACAGAAGGAACATTGCTTTTTCTGTGCTTCTAGTTTTCCGAAAGAGAGAGGGGAGAATTCTGTTATTGGTGGTTTCAGTACTTTCCAGAACACCTATCACAATTCTTTGCATGTAGTATACCAAATATTCACTTAGTGCAAAATACATTGTGGAATAAACTGCCCAAACTTTGCTCTTGTTTTTCTTTTGATTGTTATTTTCTAAGGGGAAAAACCCGAAAATCAATGGCACTCTTGTTCCAGCGTATTTATCCCATCTTCTCTCAGAAGGCGGTGGCAGCTGTGAACCTGTTAGTGGCACACTTTCACCTCTAGGGGGAGCTCAAGGAGGGACACACTGAATGAAGAAGGAGCAATCTAAAACCTTATTGGGTCATGGTAATGGTAGATTGAGTTTTGGTGAATTGGGAAGGGATTAGAAGAAATTAGCCTTCACAGGGCTGAGTCTTTAGTTCTTTTAAAATCGCATTTTTTAAGGATTTCACACGACAAGAAGCAGATCCTGGCTTGATTCTCACTTGGAAAAATTGTCCTAACCTAGAAAAACTAAACACCAGGGTAGAATTAATGGGTTAAAAGTAATGACTGAAGGGTCATGTACAGCCAGTCACTGACACTTTTAGCTCAGGGCATGTGACTGTGTATCTGTGTGTGCACATGTATTTGTGTGTGCACACGTGTCTGTGTGTATATGTGTGTGTGTGTGTGTGTGTGTTCAACAGTTTGAACAACTTTGAATTAGGCACAAACCACTCCCCCACATTTTCCACCACTCTAATCATCTAATATCTAGCTCAATTCACAGATTTTTATCTCTTTGCTCACTGTAGCATTTGAATTTTTAAGTATCGTTTAATTTCTAAAACTTAATTTTTATAGGTTAAACTCTCATGGTTAAGATATTAAACACTTGAGAGTGTTTAATATCTCATAAATCCCAACATTTCGCATCAGAAAAAGAAATTTAGTTTTTTTTTTGATGTGTTTGATTTATGTAGAGGGGCATAGCAAGATAACAGAGGGTCTTGTGCACAGGTCACAACATATGTCACAGGCTGTCCTGATTCTCTTGCTTTTGTGTTCATTGCCTACTTACTGTTTCCACCTCAGTCTGGTTAAAATGATGGGAGCATCTCTCTTAAAGAGAACAAGCATGAATTCTCTTATGGATTGTGCATCATTATTTTATTATTGTATTCATAAAATTCAATAAAAAAGACAAATAAGATCTGCAAACAAAGTGTCCAGTACTACATGTTCATTAAACCTTGTTTTCCTTACACTTAAAAAGAAAATAAAGGGCAATAAGGTGAAAGCCCTTCTTCACAGTTCTATGATCATAGTCAAAGCAGGAGAATTCCCATCCCCAACACACATGGGCATTCCAGAGCAGAAGGGATTATAAAGCCCCCACAAAGCAGGCACACTGCCCTTCTCTTTCCTAAAAGGTCTCACCATGGGTAACTGGAAAAATAGGGTAGAAAAAACTCTTCCAAATGTAAACCATCTATTTGCTTGTTGCATATTTTGCAAGTCAGTAAACAAATCTATTTAATGTATCCATCCAGTATAAAAAAAAACATTAATTAAGTATCTACAATATGTGGGGCTCTGCACCTACAAAAACATATAAGACAAGGTCCACCCTAAAAAGGTGACAGTCCTGGCTTGTGATTTTCCACTGCTGGAAAATTGTGATGGATTTTCTGTTCCCACCATGGCCTACAGCAATATTTTGTTTTGAATCCATTTACTTGAAAGAATTGTTAACTCAGTGGTCATAATCTCTATAGTAAGACAAAATACTTAATATCAATTCTCAGGTATGAGGCATTCCAGACATATTTTAAGTGGCAATTTTCAGAGCCCCATAAAGATTTTAAATTGATTTGATCAAGTGTCAAAAAGAACTCTTTCACATGCTCTTGCCGAGAAACTTGGCATTGGGACTGTACCTAATTGAGAGACTTTGCTGGCTCAAGTGTGTTGGCTTCCAGCCCAATCACAGGACCCCTTGGAACAATGAATAAGGTCATTAGTTTGCATGCTTAATCCTAAGTGACCTTGTATGAGTCTCCCTCCTCCTAGGCATTTGCGAGTTCCATAGTTCAGTAGCATGGGAGAGTGACACGTTAATCCTGCCTTTTTCTCTTTCATCCTTATAGATCGCTACAGGTCATGGACTGTCCTATAAATGCAGACTGAGTCATCTTTTTTAAAAACAACTCTACAGTGAAGCTTACATCAAGAGAGAAATGTTCTAGTTACAGGTGTTATTAACTTTGAACATCAGTCTGACTACAATTATTTTTCTTTAGGCCTTGTTAATAACTCCTTTCCTATTTTAAAGATAGGGTTTTAAAATATATCCTAACTGCAGCAGGTTTAAACACTATCAATTAATTTTAAATTTTTTCTTAATCATTATTTATTCTTAGACTCCTATTACATATTGGATATGTTTTTAGTATCTACAGAGGGACTAACCAGATACAGTAACTAGCTGTTTTCAATACTCCTAGCATATTACTCAATCCTTTAGAAAAGCAAGAGCAAAACAAATAAATATATGATAATAAACAAACAAATAGACCTACCATAACAAAACCTTTAAAAACATTTTCTTGCCCTTTAGGTAAAAATAAAACCTGTCCATGATCTGAAGTTCATGGCTCCATTATCACAGGCTAGATTTGACAATTCCTTCTTGCCAAATTTTTCCTTTGTGTATGGAAGATATTTCTAGAAAATAACTTGGAAGAATCAAGTTGTCTAAGTAACAAAAAAGTATATGGTTGTATAAAATCAATAGAAGTAGGTTATAATAAATATGTAGGTTCAAAATGATAGTAGCAGACTTTAGAAGGGGCTTCTAAGGGGCTTTCTGAAGGGGAAAGTCCCCTCTCCCTGAAGCCTGACTGCAGGTGGAGAAGTTTGACTCTTGGGCACTCTTCCTTCTTACGATCAATTCCCATAGAGCTGAACAAGAGCTTTGGATGGTGACCACTAGCACAGAGATCCACCACTATAAACTTCAAGATCTTGCCCTGAACTGCCATGAAATAGACCTGTCTAAAACTTGTGAGACAGAAGCCCCAATTTAGGATTAAGTGGAAAGCATGAGTTCGTCCAAGAAGAAAACAAAGTGAAAATTATCTTTAGATTTTTTAAAGTAGAACTAACATTATTATTAGTTCAATAAATAATTTATATATAACTATATATATATGTTTTAAGTTTAAAATTTATTTGACCTAAAACAAATGTAGAAATAGCAAATACTTTCTTTTCCTGCAATAACCAGTTTTGCCTGTAACATTCAAAACCCATTATGTGTGCAAGAGCTGTAGGCTTACTTCACCCAATACACCCAGCACTCCCCTCCCTCACAAATCACAGCTCAACTGTTTCCTTACTCCCTGCCCCACCCTCCCACACTGGCAGAGGATTAAACTTGGACCAGTATAGGTCACAAAGGCATGTGCATCATTGCAGAGACTTTGTAACTAGTTTCAAAAATTTAGCTCTGCAGCCAAGTTTCTATGACCTACATGAATCAGTCTTTTGATGTTTGTGATTAAAAATATAGCTTTGCTCTTTTTTTAGTGCTAACATTAAAAAAAACTGTAAAGTTTGGTATAAAAATGAATCAAATCAATAAAGATAATTTAGCTTCATTATCAAAAGTTATAGCAAATAAACTCATTAAATAGTTATTAAATATTAAAACCAAAAAGCTGAATCATAGTATAAAAGTTTTATCCTGGTGGATAATTAGTTAAAATAACCAGGAGGAACTGAGTAAGACTAAAACTTTTATAAAAGAGGAGTATTTGCTGGTGGTTGTTGCACATTAAATCATCAAATCCTTGCAGATATGATGACATTATTCAAATGGTCAACTGATTTAATGTGTGAAAGGATTAGTTGATTTTGATGTAATCCCTTGCATTTACTTTTTTCTTTATACTTGTAAGAATTTATAAATTACTAGTTCAAGGTTAAAACATTTCACCAGAAAGAAAAAATGTCTCTGGTGTATTACTTATTTACAAATAGAGAATCTAATTATAAAAAATTCCTTTATAAAGATTGTGTCCTGAGTTTTCCCCCAGAAAGTCTAACACATCTACAGTCACAGAGGTATACTCTCTATGGACAAAAACCAGGCAGCCTGTTTCTGAGCGCTGTTTATCGGATCCGACACATCATTGCTCCTGTTTCTTCAGAAGTATCAGAGGATGTAAATGAATAACACCCCACCTCACTATAATTAGTGTCCTTATCTAATAAAGGTGCCAGGATTCCACTTTGGGCTCTATCATCTGAGCTCACAGCCTATTTATTGGAGGGAAGGGAGAGGAACTGTCATCAAGGCCTGTTCAGTGATTGTTACCACCCTGTGCTATTTTAGAGATTTTGACTCACTCATAATTCAAGGTGACAAAAATGGAAACCACTACTTTGGATTTTGAGTTCTGATAAATTAAAAAATGCTGTTAAACATAAAATAAATTATAAGAACCTCTGAATTAGTAATTTTTTTCCTCTGAGGTCATGAAAAGTAAACTAGGAAATAACAGCAAACACACTTAGCCTTTGGCAAAGCCTAAATCCATAAACTTTTTGATAACCTATCTGAAGTAGCTATATTTTGTTTTCTGGTACCATAGTAACCCAACTTTCCATTTTGGACTTCCTATTTCTGAGTCACAATTATTGTTGTCACTCTCCACCATAAAATTTCTTCCTAACTTTCACTCATGAATATTTTCAACTTCTCTGATTCATGTTAAATCCCACTGACATGTAGTGAAATACAGTGTGTCTAAACTCTTCAAACTTGAACTTCTGGAAACATGCTGTTTTACTCCAATGATAACAAGGCTGTGATAGACCAGGTTGCCCCTTCTTTCGCTTGGTAGGTGTTGGCCCTGTGTTGTCCATTGCAGCTCCCAATATGTGACTATCATGCCCTTAAAATATGACTATTCTTTATTGAAATGTGCTATAAGTGTAAAATATACACTGGATTCCAAATAATTATTAAGAAAAAAAGAATCTAAAATACCTCATTCATTTGTATTTTGGTTAGACCTTGAAATAAAAATATGCTGAATATACTGGCTTAAATGGATTGCCTTAGTATATTATTTTTACTTCTTGCTTTTCACTTTTTAAGTGTGGCTACACAAATGTTGAAAAATGGTCTATGTGGTTCATGTTATGTTTCTATTGGACAGCATGGGTTGGAATATGCAGCCCTGAATACTGTATCCCCATGATTTCAAATGTTCCTTCTGTGCTCTGAATCCTTGGATACAGCTCCTTTCTCACTTGAATTTTGCATCTCTACAGTCTGCTATTTCACATGTTCACACTGTAGCTCTGGGGTTTCTCTTAAACTTCCACTCTTGTATTCAATAAGCACGTATTGAATGACTATGTGGTGCCAGGTTTTCTATCAGGAACTGTAGGCAAACTTGGGGCCGGAGTATGTTTGGGAAACTGAAGATACATCCCTCTTACTAGAATGAGGATGCAAAAAAATAGCAATAAGATACTAGACACCCAAAACACAGGAGTCCCCTCATGAAATGCTTTGTGTGCCCTAGGATGGATTCAGCTTTTATACAGGAGGTGGCCATTGAGAATTTTTAAATAAAGGAGTGACAGGTTTATTTTTAAAAGAAAGATTAAGTTGTAGCAACGAATCAGGAAAAACATTTAAGGTTCAGTACTATCTAGTTTCAATCATTCACTGGGGGTCTTAGGACATATCTCCTATGAATTATGTGGGACTGCTGTGCATTCCCAGTTTAATTTAATCATTGCAACAATGCTATAAGTAAATGCTTTTACTAGATTTTTTTACAGTTGGAGACACTGAGGCAGAGAGAAGCAATGCTCTTTGTGCATGTTACTACATTGTAAATGGCAGAGCCAGGGATTGAACCCAGTCTGCTTCGTACCCATGCCTTTACCCACCATTACTGTTCTGGCCAGATCCAGTGAGCTGTATTTGGCTCGGTCCCATCCTTGTGCTTTCTGCTGGCATTTACTGCTGACATCTATACCTAATGAACTTATATTTGAGTCTGCTTGGTTTGCCCAGGGACTGGCTGTTAACTCAGCATTCACATTACATAGGACCTGGGGGAGGTCCTGACGGGAAAACAAAACCCTGTCTTAATGTGTCTGTGCCTCTCTGCTGACTCACCCAGCACTGGCCATTCCACATTTTTGTGTAGCCATTCTGTTCTGTGGGTTTCACCTAGAAACCTAATGGGGAGTGAAGCCAGAGCCCTCATGCCCTCCTCCATTAAAAGCCTATGTCTGATTGTCTCATTTCCTTATTTCTGTCTCACCTTTTCTTTCTCTTTTTAAGCTACTGGGCCAAAGGTGGGCTGACTAGCTATTTCATAACATAGGTCTTCACTATCACGTATCTTGCTTTTTCCTGAAGTAGTATTTGTTGCCATCTATTTCCAATGGGCTATACCAACAGAATTTCTATGATGAAATATAGTTTATGAGAGAGGGGGATAAAACACATCAGTTCTCTGTTTTTGAGTATTATACCTCTCTTGTGTGTCTCCCCTGATAGAACACGGCTGAATGACAGCAGAAGTTTCGGCTTTCCTTGTCTGTAGACTAGTTTTCTGACTGCTGAATCTCAGCTGTTTGCTTCCTTAAAACATATGGTCTATTTTTCATGAATAAGACTGTAATAAAGGCCTGTGGAATTCTTAGGAAAAAGGGCATCATAAAACATTTCACCCATCAAATGTCTGTCATACTGCCAGGCCAAGTAGAGTCATAATTGTGCTTGCATGTATCAGCAAAGAACAGTGTTAATAGGTGAAGCTGCTTCACGTAATTAACTTACTCATAGCCTTTTTTCCCAGAAAGAGGCTAGAAAGACAAGTCATGAAGAACAGGAAAGAAGGAGCCATGTGGAAAAGATAGCCACAGCATTGCGTTCTCTGTTTAAATGCTGAAAGACACGTGTAAACACGCACACACACACAGACAAAGAACTAATCACCAGAAAAGAACTGTAATTACAGGGTGAATAAAAAAATGAATGAACAAGTAGCCTTGCCATATACACTAACTAAAGCAAAAGGAAACAATTCAAGGTATATTATAGTTATAACTTATTGTGTTCATTTTCTGTGGCTGCTGCAAAAACTTACCACAACTTTGGTGACTTAAAACAACAGAAACTTACTCTCTTATAGTGCTAGAGGCCAGTAGTCCAAAAACCAAGGTGTGAGCAGGATCATTCTCCTTCCAGAAGTTCTGGGGGTCATCTATTCCTTGAGTCTTCTAGATTCTGGTGGCTGCCAGCATTTTTTGACATTTGTTGGCTAAACTACATTCCTCTAATCTCTGCCTCTGTTCACATCATCTTCTCTGTGTATTGAATCTCCCTGTCTTTTGTAAGGACCCATGAGATGGCATTTCAAGCCTGACCATATCATCTGAAATAATATCCTCAGCCACAAAAGGGGAGGACACTTAAGCAGAAGAGAAATATATCTAATTTTTGGCAAATACAGGATGGAGCAACAGTAAGTTTACAGTTGTAAATATATAAAATACAGAGTTTGTTCTTGTGTTATTATCTATTAATTGTTATATTATTTTTCATATAGTGAGCTATAAGCCTCTTTTGTCTCACCCAGTATTCAACAGACACAAATAAAATGACCTTAAAACTTCCTAGATCTTTCAGGACCAAGAGAATCCTATCCATCAATGTCCCAGCTCTCTCATAAATGTGCTTACTATTACCATTTCCCTAGATTTCTCTAATTAACTTCACCTTTTATAATTTGTATGCTCATTTGAAATTAATCTCTTAGTGATTTTGACCATTACAAATGAATATTTACTAAAATATGCAGTGATATCAGTACCTACTTTTTTAATACAGATGAAACATTATAAATACATATCCAAAGACAGGAGCCTAAATCCTGCTAATTCACTTCCATTTATTCTCCAATTGTGCTGCACTTTCAGCTCAAATTTCATCCCCCCCCCCCAAGTAGAATGAGAATTGGAATGAAAAAGTAACTATATATGAAAGACTTTGGTAGTGCAGTTTCCAGGGAAAGTTTGGACTACTTTTGAAAAGGTAAAAAACACAAAAACTCTCCAAATGAATACACAATTTAATAATAAATTTGAATTAATTATGTTGGATTATCTGGATACTATTTGTAAAACTTTTCCTCACTTAATTTACATCAGTTTTCATATCACTTTTGTCTTGAGATACAAAGAGACCCAAATGAGTGATTTGGCTTGCATAACAGCTCTATGAGCGTGAAGAACAAAGGCCCCTTCTATTTTATTGCTCTAACCTTCATGACATGTGGCTTCCATCTTGTGTTCCATTGATAGACAAACCCCCTCCTTTCCATAACTGGAAAAGAAAAAGGGATTAAGAAGAGGGCATTCCTTTAAGGAAAGATCTTGGAAGCACACAATATTTCTGCTCTAAAGTCAGAACTGAATCATATAACCACAACCAGCTGCAAGGAAAGCTAGAAAATGTACTCTTTATTTTGGATGGCCTTGTAAGAGTTAGAATTCCATTGCCTTGGATGAGGAGAACACATACTGGGGATTAGTTAGCTACCTCTTCTACAGTCCACCCTTTGGCCTACCCAAATACGTGTGGTACTCCTCTCGTATATAGAGCATAGTTTAGCCCTCCCCAAGTTGCAATTAACATCTGACAACCTATAAAATCAAAGTCAAGTTAGGTGGGCCCCCACATAAACCAAATTTAAAATGTTAAAATATGACTAGAATAATTGGCATAAAGTCTTTAATTTTAAACAAGGAAAGTGAGAAATACTGAGCAGTCATCTGTCCATAGAGATGATCAAGAGGTATTGGATAAAAAGTACTTTAGTAAATTCTGTTTTAAAAATTTTGTTATTTCTTTCCAATTATAGTTGTCCCCATTTTTCCCTCATTACTCTCCCATACCCACCCACCCTATCACATTCAATCCTCCTTCCATTGTCCTTGTCCACAGGTCCTTTATCCATGTTCCTTGACTTGACCCTAGAGTAATTCTTTTATACACACTCTGACTACCCCTGATTCTTCTCTCTGCAAGGAGCCCTTGAGTTTACCCTTTGGGAAATTCCTTTCTAGTCTACTGTCCTCTGTGGCCATCTCTGAAGTATATTTGAGGGTTGTTTAGCTTTTGCAGCCTGATTTCTTTAGGTATAGAATAATTTGATTTAGAGCTTGAACCATGAAAGTCTTTTTAAGCTTAGTTTGTAGATTCTTTGACAATACAGTGTCCTCAAAAACTTAACAGGTTTCCAATGATTTGATCCTACTGAATTCCACTTGGGAGCAACAACAGCCAAAGTTTTTGAAATAATTTTAAAATCTGGCATCACTGTTTTTTTTATTTATTTGTTTCTGTGCTCTACTCTCCCATTCCACCTTCTCAACATACATGGATACTACCTAGAGGCTCAGTGAAACATTTGCTTTTGATGAAAAATCAATGCCCTCAACCTGACCTTTACTACCTGGCAGGCTTCCAGTATTTAGCAGATGTTGTGAGACTCCCAAATTACCAGAATAAATATTCATCTAGGAGTGTGGAGATCTTGAAGACTACTCAGATGTGGGGAAAGGATAATTCAGTTAGAGGAAACAGCAGTAATAAAGGCAAGAGAAATCTGGTTAATGAAAAGGAATGTTGGCAAGCAAACTGAGATGGAATAGAACTGAAAATGTAGCAGAGTACATTTGATAAAATATTTATATACTAAGTCAAGTAGGGCCATTTTATAGGTTGGGTGGGATGGTAGCCAAATAGTTTTTTGATACTTCATTCTGATAAGTGTGAAAAATAGATTTAAGGAACAAAAATCTTGATTCAGGTAACACAGTTAGATTATTATAGTAATCCAGGTGAG